GATCATGTCTGATGACGTTAACGTCTTGGAAGCGCTCGTTTCGACGACGCCACACCCTCCTACGTCTGTCTAAAAAATCAACAGTGAACCTTGACTCATCTGAAAACATCACATTGCTCCAGCGTCGATTATCCCAGTGTTGACGATCCCTACACCAACGACGTCTTGCCTGAATGTGATGATCTCTCAAACAAGGGATCACGCGAGGACGTCGGGCGCGAAGGTGACCCCTATGCAGTCGATTCCGAATCGTCTGGCCACTCACTCTCACACCAGTGTCTGTTTGAAGACGAGCGCTGATCTGATTTGCTGTGATGACACGATTTCTCAAGGCCAGGGTACGGATAAATCGATCCTGGGCTTGAGTTGTCGCCCTTGGTCGACCTGAGGGTGGTCTGTCCTGTACAGATTGTGTATCACGGTATCTGGACCATAGCCTGCTTATGACAGACTGAGAAACATTCATCGTCCGCGCCACAACCGCCTGTGTTGTGCCGATCTGTAGCATGCCAAGGGCACGTAACCTTTCATTTTGGGTAAGCCGACGTATATCAAAATTTGTTTTCTGGTCACTAAAACAATTAAACTGATGTTTCCACCCTGGAATTCAATGCCACAATGACTGTAACATTCAAAGTCAGAGTCGTGCAAATCTTGGGTTGGACCCCCATGATGATCCCAAGCATCACCTGCATTCCATGCGGTAGCTATTGGTGCGTTTGGGCGTCACATGTAACTGGAAATGTTTCTTCTGTTAGGTTCTATAGTGACTTTTTTCGTAGTCATTTGCATATTTTAGTATTATGCCCCCAAAATCAAATATCCCCTACTTTTTTTGAATAGTATATATTTGAGACTCATTAAGTCGCATTGATGTCATCCGTATCAGTGATTATAGCGGCCTAGCGAATATTCACTTCTGATCAGTGTGAGTCTATACATCAGTATCTGGGTGTGTCCACAGTGAGTGTCAATAACAGCAGCGCAGCGTCTGTACATGGAGTGGGCCAGATGATTGATGAACGCCATTGGCACCTAGAACCACGCTCTCAGAAAAGCCTGGCACAATCCATCGGCTGTGTTTGGCCTCGGTACGACGTTATTAAGTCTCCTCTGAATTTCATCAATCGGGTTTAAGTCCGGATTAAGGGCTGGCCAGTGCATAACGTTGACACCGTTCTGCTGTAGAAAGTCCCGAGTAATTCTGGCGGTGTGGGCACGGGCGTTGTCATGCTGGAAAACGTTGTTTCGATGACGTGCGAAATGTGGTATGACGTGGGGTCTGAGAGCTTGATTGATGTAGCGCACTACTGTGATGCCGCCTCCTCTCCCTGGACCAAGATTTTGGATAACCACAGGACTCACTCTCTGGTTCAGGCTGAATCCACCCCAAACCATTATGCTTGGACCTCCCCACGAGTCTCGTTTCATGACACATTGGTCAGAATAACGCTGGCCACGCCGACGCCATATTCTGGTCCTGCCATCTGCAGTTGATATACGCAATACCGACTCTCATCCGTGAACAGAACAGTTCTCCATTGCCTGTGTCACCAGTTCAGGCGTTGTTGGGCAAACTGTAGACGTTCACGTCGATGGCGAGGGGTGAGGATCGGTCCACGGTAAGGTCTATGACAAGGGGTGTTCTCTCTGGTGAGACGTCGGCGCACTGTATCGGTACTGATGGGTCTTCCGTGTGTTCCCACTGTTTGATGTGCTGTCTCAGATGCCTGTGTGATTGGATTCTGCACGTGCTGTCGCACAACATGGCGGTCTTGTCGCCTTGTGGTAATCCTTGGTCTACTGTAGATGGTCCGAAAATTGATCTGGAAGTGCAGCGTCGAGCCTTCCAAGCGCCTGGTTCCTCTGAGCTGTCGTGAGTCATGGCATGCTGCTGACGTTGTAGTGTGAATGATTCAGCCAGATATGGGGGTGCATTTTATAGGGCTGGTCCCGGTGAACAGCACGTGCAGCATGAGTTACATGAAAATCATGGAGAACACATTACCATCTCAGACGTCATATTGCGTTTTTGAGAACATTTCCCGGGTTCAATTCTGTGTTTGGGAAGGAGCTTTATTGCTCAGGTAAAGTTGGAGATGTGGTAACAAATATACAATAAAAACATTTGGCAAGTTTTATGCAATGCGTCTATTCAGAGTAACATACCAGTCTGACGTTTCTTTTGCTGCTTAGTATATTTTAACTGTGTGTGTTTGGGGAGTGTTTGGCAATGCTATGTAGCGTACATCTGTAGGGTGAAAGTGGGACAAAATGGAACCCCTCAACTCTATTCTTTCCTGAGATAAGGTAGCTGGAAAATATATGTACAGTTTAAGTAGTCGAGAACATGGGCCTAACGTCCTTTAAAGTTACAATTTCATATTTTCTAAGAAAGTCAAAACATAATTATTTCTATGTCTTTTGCTCAATAGGTTGTCAACTCACTATTATACGATCATAGGTGTCATTCTCACTTAAAACTCATTTACACCGGAAATAATAATACAATTACCTCCCTTGTTTTCTATTCTCCACCATGGAGTAGCTATCCTCAAACGTTTGAATTTGAAGAGGAAAATGATATTTTTGCCAATTTCTCAACTGGCAATGGTGAATTATAGGATTATTCTTTAACAAGGTAGGACTGTTTATAGATACCATCTATTTTAAGGCTTTATTTTAATAAATTTTAAAAATATAACGTAAAAATATGAAATTGCAACTTTAACGTTATCATGGCGAACTGGGCATATCAGCGGTGAAGGGAAGCACCTGCCATGTGAACGTTTTGCCGTTTACTGATCTGTCTGACGGTGAATTGTAGATAGCGTGCCTTTGTGTACAAATTTCGTTCAGGAACCGTTTTTCATACGATAAAGCTTTTTAAATAAACTAATTTTATTGTGCCTGGGCAATTCTAGTGCCGTTCGTTTGGCTAGGCGAGATCGGGGTAATTTTTATTTTCGACCGAAGAGGACCCTTTCATTTGTACTAAATGGACCCCTATGCCAGTTTGCCCCGTACGAAATTTCCAGTACAATCACTGATAAGGATGACATCGATGACAAATTAAATTCTAAAACATTTTTTTTATTCTAATTATTAGAAAAATAAAAAAAAAAACGTTTGTAGGTAAAAATTATTTCCTATTTAGTCTAAATGGGCATTAAAATAAGTAAAAGGCACCATTCTATAGCCCGAACCTTGGTCCATTTCGTACCACTTTCCCCTATATTTGATATACATGTACTAGAATGGGTGAATTGTTAAACATGTATAGGTTCTCCCCCAGAAAATTTTGAAACCTTTAAGTCAATTTCCTTGCATCTGAGGCTATTTCTGAAGGAAAGTTAGGCCCTACTCTTTTAAATGTATAGGCTCTCTCCTAGCTGGCTTGCGGTTGTGTTTCGGTCCCTGGCGTCAGTATATATATATGTGGCTAGGCTTGGAGATAGGCATACAGCTACGGCTGGGGCTATTTGCCACATGTGGTGCTGTGAGGGACGCCGTTCTCAAGGGTTATTCCGAGTAGCCTACTCCGGAAATTAAGACCCCTGCGCGTGCGCTGGCCGGTGTTAAATAATCAATAGGACCTTTTGAGAGAGAGTGAGAAATGGGGTTTAAAACGTCCACGACACAAACAAGGTCATTTCGGGACTAACATAGGCCTATGGTTTAATTTTATTTAAATAATTCACTTGCGCGTAGGGGTCTTTACAAGTGGGAGGAAACCGGAGGACCCCGAGAAAACCCACGAGGTTGGACGACAGGAGACCCTACTCCTTGTCACGTACAACCAGGGATTCGAAACCAGGCCAGTTGACTCAATGACAGGCCTTAGGATACAGCGCGCTCGTGCTTGCTGGCTGCGGGGGGGGGGGGCAGTGAAGTTTTTAGGGGGGGGGGGCACACCCGGCATAGTCTACAGTAGGTATTTTACAGCTGGTTGGCAATTTTTTTTCAGGGGGGGGCAAAACATTTTTTCAGGGGGGCATTGCCCCCCGCTGGCTATGGGCCTGTTTTGAACCACCCGTAAATCTTAATTGATTGAGACAGAATCTACTCAAAACACATTTTGGATTGTAGATCAGAAGGTGACCGAGAGATTCTAATTTAGATTTTAAAATATTAAGTAGGCCTACTGGGAAGTATTAATAAAGTAAATTTAATGGCTCAATACCACTCTTGTTTTAACTGAATTTTATGTCCCAATCTTTATTCTGGTCAACAAATTGTACTATTAGAATATTTCAATTAATTGATGATACAAATTTCATCTTAACACACCTTATTTAAAAATTTTGAAAAATTCAACATAATGGTTTGAAACGTCTAACGTAAACCTTTTCAAATGAAACTTAGATTTAAAAATATTTTCGAACCCCCTGGACAAGTAAAATAGGATGTAATGGATAATTTACACAACAGGTAGGACACTTAATTAAACATCTAGTACTTAAATAGAGATATTATTTATTTTCTCGAGCTTTCAAGCCAGCAAGAGTTTTATTGTCCCTTTAAATTGGACCATATTTGTTAGTCCCGAAATTACCAAGTTTGTGTGTGGCAGTTTAGTTAACCATAACTAGTAGGCCTAGTAGCCTATAGTCATAGACTATAAGGTCCATGGTTCACCCACCACCCCCACCCCCCATCTCTCATTACACAACCCATTTGAGGACACGGTGGTCAGACATGCAGGAAGAAAGATAAAAGTAGACATGTTAAATTTTATCAATTGAACTTGGCGGTAAAAGTAGCCAGTATGCGCAATTGTAAAGCAGTAAAACGTATTTCCGTTTAAGGAAATAAAGTAGTCCCCGTTTCCACGGCTTGTCAACAATTATTTTGTGTTAAGTATAGGTAATTCCACGACTGTTATGTGATAAGTACGTGTTATGTGCATCAATTTAGAGAAAGTCATTAAATAGAGACTTTCGAGAACAGTTTCCACGAAAACGCATCTGGTTTTGACAGGTAAATATTCATGCGCGGTATCAAAATGGCGACTGAAATGTGATATCGTTCTGACAGCATACCAAAGATCAACTATTTTCGTAATAATTTTGCAGTAATCAAGCCTCTAACAGATTGGTTTAAAAGGTAAACGTCAGTTTTATTCATTGATTTCATTGTTTTATGCTATCAAACTTTCATGGTCAAAATATTGAAGTGTGTTGGTCAGCGCAGAGGAAGCGTCTGCACGCCGTTTATGGTTGGTGTGTACCTGCCGGTGCATGCTGTTCTGGTTGTACATGTATGAATGACATCAGAGATGATCATGGTCCTTTTATTACCACGCTCCAGTGAATCGATTGTCGGTCTTGATTACACGATTAAGCATGTCCGTGAATCTGAAGAAAAAATCACAACATATTTTAGGTCATCTACACATGTAGTTCTACTCTAGTGTAGAGTTATTTTGGTTGACAGGAAGTTGTAACTGTTACTCGTAGTTAGTAGTTAGTGTGTGTGAATTGTAATTAAGCCAAGGTAAACACTTAGAATCTGCCTACTACTATTGTCAGGATGCATAGGCTATGACTAATTCTGGGTTTGATACATTACATGTGTTACTGTTGGAAATTAGGATTGGCTAAGTCACGTGGTGTTTTCTAACCTTTTTCTCTAAATTCATAACAAAACATCATCATGAACCTTGCTCGTCTTGTAGTAAAATTAAGTCACTAAAATTTACTATTTGCTAACAGTACCATAATATGAATAAAATTCCATTTATTAGTATCATAGCAAATAAGCAATCCAAAGGTACATATGTCAGGAGAACCCTCAAGGGACCATTTTTCAGGTACCATATACAGCATATTGTAATTGGTAAAACTGAAAGTAGAAATAAAGTAAATAATTGAAAATACAGTGCGGTATCGAAATCAATAGTAAACTGTACTGTAGGCCCTACACATGTAGATACATCTGCCTTGCTTAATTGGTACTTATGTATCCACTTTGTGTTGATATTGGGGAGAGATATAGAACAGGTTTGTCTATTTGACTTGTTTAATAACTGGCATTATTTTAGTTTAACATGTACATGTAGTGTATGTAGGCCTATGGCCATGATCTGATTCAACGCATAGACACAGTGTATGTTAACCTACATGCACATGTAACTTTGATTGTACACAGTTTGTCAGCCTATGATTGATTTAACACATTTTGTGTAGGCCTGAGTGTATTTAGTAGTGTATGTGTAGGCCTGTGATCTGCGTTGAATTAACACATAAAACCAACATTTTAATTCCTACATTGTACATCAACGATTTTAGTTGAAAACACTGAGTATGCCTTTAGAAATTTTTAGAAGTATTTATTTCTCTTCTATTTTCATATTGAATGAAATTCAATATGTTTATTTAGCTGTTGTGTGTATGAAAGATGTCAAACGGATTATAGCGGAAGCACGAAATAGTCCACTAATTATTCAATATGGCACATATTATATCGCTTTTACCAGAATAGCAGAAGTTGACATTTTGCTAACTTGACATTTTTGTTAACCGTACATAAACCAGGTGCTTCGGTTATAAAAAGCCGTAAAGTCGAAAAGTCCCAACCCAAAATGATCACATGAGCGTTTTAAATGGACAGCATTTACATGTAGTGCAGTGATGTATTCTCGAGGTATGAAGTAAATGCATCGCTGTGTGCAGTATGATAAAACTTGGCATGCTTGTATTTTGGTTATTTGCAAATCGATTGAAAGATCAATTTTTGATACAAATACAAAGTCTCAATTCCAAGTTACATGTAGCTGCATTGACATCATGGTCAGTTCCATGGTGCCTTTAGCTGTGTGGAAGTGGGGGGGGTGCGGGGAAACTGGAAACAGAGGACCTGGAGAAAATCTATGAGACTGGACAGGGAATCCTACTCCTTGCCACGTACACGCGGGAATCGAAATCATGCCGCTTTATTATTTACTCATCCAACCCCCAACCCCCCATGGTCAGTTCTTGGTACATGTACATCTAATACACTGTTTTAGATGCATTTTTAATCCCTTGTCAACTACGTACATTGTACGGTATTGTGAAAGATGAATATCAGTTCAGAAGTATTTTATCTTCCTACAAAACATAGACCTGATAATGTCAAATTTATAACATTGTATATCGACCCAAAGGGCTTTCATAGATAGAGGTCTGTTTCACTGTTTACATCCTCCTCAGCTTGTTTCACACACAGGTTGAAACAAACCTGTCTTCATTAGCCCAGTTGATGCAGAAAAGTAGGATGTAAATCCCCATTTCATTTAATTTCTATTGCAGTCGACTGTAAATAACTAATCAAAATGGCATCTGGAGGAAGAAGTAAAGCCTTCTCTTTATCTAAGCTACCACAGTCTGATCCTCGACCATCACGAGGTAGCTGGCAGAAAACATCAGCTAATTCAGATGATCAAAATGAAACAGAACAGCAGCAAATAAATTCCAGTCAGAAGAATCTTCATAAAGAAGTTCGTATCAATAATTGGGTATGTTAATATACATATTATTCTATATATTTTACTGTACATTATTTCAGTTAATAAATATTACTACCATATGGTAATAGAAAAATTCTGTCCGGCATCTCCCACAGTTCCCTATCTTTTTATTTATTTCAGGATTTCACTGACTGGAGACCAAACTCAGCATCAACTGATTCCAAGAGACGTAAAAAATCCAAAGGAAATCCAGAACGCGAGCGTGAGCAGTCCTTATCTTTAGATTCGCCACCGCAAAGGGATAAGAAGCCCCGAACTCCATCGTCGTTTCCGCGAACCAAGATTGGACCAAGCACACCAACATCCCAGAGACGAGCTCTGGAAAACCTGAGAAGTCGAATGACTTTTAGTGAAACTGATGAGGTAATATTAGCCACCATTTGAGATAAATCTGTTAAACAAATTAATCTGTTAATATTATTTGTTGATGACGTTTATTTTATGTTTATTTTTCAACTAAACCAGGCCTTGTACATGAGACTGTTTGCTTTTACTCAAACAAAACCATTTGTCTCGCTTATTGAAGGGGGTTTGAGTGGCCGAACGGTTTAACACAGAACTCTGTCATTGAGTCAAGTAACGTTGTTTCGATTCCCCTGCTTGTATGTGTCCAGGAGTAGGGTTGTCTGTCTTAACTCTAAGATTTTTTCCAGGTCCTCTGGATTAAACAACCTACGTGCAAGCGAATTACTGAAATAAAGTTGCCCCATATGTTAGTCCTGAAATGACCTAGTTTGTGTCGACTGAACGTTAAACCACATTTCTCTTTCTCCGAATGGTTTAGTGTGTGCACATAAGATCACGAGGTCTCTCATGGAGTCAAGTTGTGTGGTTTTGATTCTCCACTTGTACGTGAGAAGGAGTATGGTCATCTTTCCAACCTCATGGGTTTTCTCTGGGTCCTCAGGTTTCCTCCCACTGCCAAAGACCCCTATGCGCAAGCGAATTATTGAATATAATTGAACCATATGTTAGTCCCACTGTACATATTATGAGGTAAGGGTACATGTATTAAATTGCAGGCAAGATCCAAGTGAAGTTGTAACCTGCTCCCGCATATTATTTGATTTTTCAATCTTTCATTCCATTTTTTCCTATAACCATGGATTAGTTTAGTGGGAATTACCCCCCTTTATTCATAAGAAACCGTAAGGGGGTGGGGGGTTATGGGGGGAGCTGCAGTTCCAGTTATACACATTCGTAACAAATCGATTTATGAACTATTTAAAATTTTATGTAACTGAAATGAACATCTGTTGTATTTTTTTGGTTGTTGGTTATTCTCTTTGGAGACTTTGGTTAGATTAATACTTGCCAAGACCAGCTTGTATTTCATTGGCCAGAAATGAATAAAAATTTTGTCAAGATATTGTTGACTGTATTAGAAAATGTCGCGTAACAAGAGTGTGTTTTAGTTAGAAATATTTTTTTTATCACATTTTTGTAGGCGAGTACTGATGGTGAAAGGAACAATGAGAGAGCTGTTCCAATTGGACGTCGACAACCACCTAACTTTACCCGACAAGATACGACTAGTACTGTAGACGGGGCGACGTTACACATGTCCTTACCCAATAGGAACAATAACAGAGATGAATCCATGTCAGATGTAGGGGTAACATTATTTATTTTTATTGTCCCTCCACTTTCCCACTCTTTATTAGTCTTGCAGAAAAAAAATGTATTGATGTATGTTAGCGTCGGTTTTAAAAACAGAAATGGGTTTTAACGTCCAATTGGCACAAACTAGGTAATTTCTGGACTTAGATACGGTACTTTTATTTCTAAATTCTATGAAATGTTTGCTCATAGGGGTCTTTAGCAGTGGGAGGAAACCAGGGGACCTGGAGAAAACCCGCAATGCCACCAGACTCAATGACAGACCTTATGATCTAAAGTGCACTCTTTGATAATATCTCTGTTTCAAAGAAAGCAAATATGGCTTAGTTTTTGGTATACAAGTGGGCATGGAGTTTTCATGTTTTCTGATTGAGAGAGATAAAGTTTCTACTTTTTTGACTTGACTGTTTAATATTTTAATTCTGTTTTATTTTCAATTCACATGTTTTATTCTACTAATTATTTATATATATCACACAATATTTGATTGTGGTTCACAAAATAAGACAAAGAGTAGTCTGGAGTTTTTAATTAGTATTGTCATGAATAATTAATGTTTAGTGTTTACTGGTACTATACCAAGTTCTATTGGTAGTACTATATACAGTATTGAATTCTCTACATGTATACAATGACTGTAATATTTTATATCACTGATGCACTGGTAGGCAGGGGAAACAGGAATATTTTTACATGCAAAATCCAGAGAGTTCACCAGTCTACACCAACCAGGCTAATGAAAATGAGCATATGCCATGGCAGAGGGTCTGACAAGGACAGCTGTCTAGTTGTTTGGATGGAATTAAAAACTGAGGTCCTATGTACACATTGTCGTGCATGTGAAAGATCCTTTGACAGTCAGAATTCAATGAAGAGTAGGTCGTAACGCTGCTGTTCGGGCAAAATTTTCTTCATAGCACATTTGATTTCATTATACACCATGCGTTTCCACCTACTCCTTGTCAAATTCCAACTGCCAAAGGGTTGACTTGACTTTTCACCCCGTTTGAATGACCAGACGCTTTTCCTAGCTACTTATTATATATATGGAAAAAAAAATTAAATTAAGGCGGTTAGAGGTGACTTTTGGAGAGATGATTAAAGGTTACAAATACTAAATAGAATTCCATTCAGACAGAAGTCTGGAGTTCATGTTTTACCATACATGCACATGTATCTCCATATATTTTGATTCCGTCAAAGTTAGAAAGAAGATAAATTTCAACTTTCATTGTTTTTCCAGCTAGTTAGAATTTAGCTGAGATCATAATCAGATTCAGAAACAAAGTGGCCAAAATCCAGCTTCTTAGGTTTAAATTTTAAATACAGGAAGATAGTTATTCTAAAAGAATTAGGAAAACTAATTGACAGTTGTATTTTTGTTGCATTCATTAAATGACGATTTATTTCAAGAGCCATAACTCTATAAATATTCATCTAATTATACTAAAAATAACTAAATTGTGGTTTGATCAAAGTCACTGTCTATATATTTCAGCTTGATAGTAACCAGATTGTGGGAAGATTAATGCAGATTAGAGATTATATAAAACAAGCGAATACGATGAGAGATACCTTAAATAAATCAAAAGAAGCTGTAAGAAAATATTATTAATAGAATATTGTAACTCATCCTGCCCACCTGTACTGCTTACATCAAATATAACCATGGTGGGATGTCATTTTGTATTGCTCATACATGTCATGTATCAAATTCAAATATAATCTGCCCATATTAATATCAAATATAACCCATACTGTCCATAAGGAATATAACCTGTACTGCCTATATCAAATATAACCTGTAATGCACCCATATCAAATATAACCATGATTGTATGTAATTACGTATACCATACTGCCCATATCAAATGTTACCCATACTGCTCATATCAAATATAACCATGGTGGGATGTAATTACTGTACTGCCCATATTAAATATAACTTAAATTGCCTATATCAATGTAACCATGGTGGGATGTAATTACCGTACTGCCCATATCAAATATAACCTGTACTGTCCATATCAAATATAACTGTGGTGGGATGTAATTACCATATTACCATACTGCCTATATCATATATAGCCTGCCAATATGAAATACTAGCAGATGACCCGGCGCTGCACAGGTTGTGTGCATAACCCCGAAACCAGAAGTGGTAGGACAACGCCACCAGCCGTATGTTACTCCCTGGTTCAAGTTACCCCTCAACACCAAATTTCATCCTCAGGACAGCCCTAGTGTAGATACACCAACCCTAAACAGACAAATGACAGTCACAAATATTAGTATAGATAAGCTGCCCATAAGAAATATTACCCACACTGCACCCAAATCAAATGGTGGTGGGATGAAATTACCACACTGGTACTGTCTATAATAAATATAATCTTTAAAGTTATTATAGAGTGTGAATCTTAGTTTGTTTTGTTTTTTCAGCAGGCTAATAAAGATGATATGGGTAAATTGAAGAAACTTGTTGATAATTTGAAAGAACAGGAACGAGGTTACATGGGTCTTTTGCAGCGAATGTTGGTGAGTTAAAATATTCTACAGTAGCATTAAACATACATTATGCAAGAGCTAAATCTTCCTATTGCAGGTTTTTCTTTAGGCCTGAAATGTTATATAAACTATTAATTACACATTTTTATACGCCCACATTGAAATGTGGTCGTATATTGTCATCGCGTCCGTCCGTTCGGCCAAAGTTAATATTCGATTGACTTTGAATTTATACACAGTGTTTAAGGTCATGAGACGAAGAATCCTATTGATTTTCAACGATTTCTGATAATTACTGCCAGAGTTATGGCCCTTGATCACTTTGAAAAATCTTGTGGATGTAGACGACCAAATGGTTTAAATCTGAAGGTCAATCATTGAGTCAAGTAGCATGGTTACGCTTGTGTATATCAACTGAAGTTATCAACTTGTGTATATATATATATGTGTAGGCTATTAGAGATGATGGTATCATAGAGAATGGTAATGGTTTATTACACCCGATGTTACCAGATGGCGATGATGATGGTGATAAAACAGGATCAGATGATACAGTTTCGGTAGATTTAGAAGTACAAACAAATGCATCTGATACAACTACTGTAAGTACACTGGAGATCGATTCATTACTATGTCTATTATTCTAATGATAAAATGAGGCCTGATAATATAAATAATGGTAGGTCGCTACTGGTCATTTGCCCAGGGCTCAACTCAGAAACCAGAAGTGGTAGACCATCGCCACCAGGCCTAGTTACTCCCCAGTCGGAGCTACCCCTATACACCAAATTTCCGCCTCGGTACCGCCATAGTACGTAACCGCCAACCCTGAACAGACAAACAAATAAACAACAGTCACAAATATATAGATTATAAAATGGAGTCTGGTATAATTGGGACCTACTGAAAGTTATATTAATATGAGATTAACCAGTGACAATTCGCTTTTATGGTTTTTGTGCTTGATGTTATTCTATGCTTTTCAAGGCCAAGAATAATCCTGGTCGCGCAGGGCCACAGATAATGAAAGACTCAACACATGGTTTAAACATGGGTGAATAGTCTAAAGCATGCGCCATAGATCATTGGATTCTACTCTCAATGTTTCGATTGATAGTTTATTAACGCTCGAATGGACAATCTATACTTTGTACTTGACAAGAGAGTCAAGCTCTTTATCTAAATCTTACAAAACTCATCTTTAATATTGGTTGTACGGTTTTTACATTTATTAATCAGAAATAATATACAGTAAAATATATAGAATAATGTTTATATCATCATGGTGTTGAAATATTTGATGTTGTTCTTTTAAAGGAAGAACGTACGAACAGTTCCTCATCACGACCATATATAGAGGGTAAATTAGGTGATACTGATGATGAGGATGAAGATGGTGATGGTGTAGATGTAGAAGAAAGACAAAGTTCGAAAGGTTCAACGAGTATGGATAATACCCTCGTAGCACAACGTAATACACCTGCAGCTGAATGGGATTTCGGTGTGGATGCTTTACAGGTAAGTGCCCTACACCTATTCATGTATAATGTGGTGACTCAGTGAGTAGGGTACTGGCTCATTAACCCTTGGCACAAGGTATGATCTCGGGTTGGCTGAGAGAGTACCTCAAAATTTTCAAGCGTGGTTAGATTTTGGGGATACTCGATTGTCAACCGGGAACTTCCCAAATTGACATAATTACAATCGAGTGACGCGGAATTTAGTACTGTCATAGTTCTGCCAGTCTCAACAACGGAGGAGGTGTGAGAAGAATCATGAGATGATTTAAAGGAGCTAAACCAGTAACTCAATATTTTCAATAATTCGAAATTAAAAAAACAAATTAGAATTTAATATTGGTTCATTTCAATCAATATTGATGTTGTTATTTTGCCATGAAAATATAGGATCCTTATATCCAATATTCATGAACATTTTAAATCTGTACACGAGTCAAGTACACTATGGTTTCGGGTGCATTTTGCATTGAACAAAAAACAAATATCCTACAAGGCAATGCAGAAGTACAGGTTGTTAAAAAGCGACAAAATAAAAGTGTAGAATGGAGTAAGCAGGCGGAAACAACTGTTGTTCAATTTTGACAGTTGAGGTATTTCACCTAACATAATTGATTATAAATTACAATAAGAAATTAAAGATTGAATATAAATCATTTCTTATACATTCATATTAATTTAAAATATTACAATGTGCTTCTAGTACCATTTTCGTCTATTTTAAGGTTCCAAAAAATAGAGTCATATGCCCTTCAACACAACCAATATGTTTGAGCTGTCATGAATGGTTGAGATATTTCTTATGCGGTTTGCGCATGCAGTTGTAGACTGAAATCCCCCTTAACACTCGATTGTCAATATTTTTAGGAATGAGAGAATTCAATTTTGAAATGTACAATCAAGTAATCCCCCTTGTCTGGTGGAGGACTGAGGCCTAGCAAGGAAGAGTGTCTAATCCCTCGGAATGGCAGAAAAAACTGAGTCTTTGTACATGTTGGCAAACACTTGACACATGGAAATTGAACTAAGTGTAGGCCATATAACCGCTGTCTGAGAAAAAAGGTCCCTCATAGCACACTGTATGGAGTAAGCCTGTGTTCATTAGCCTGGTTGTTGCAGAGAAATGGGACTCTAAATCATCACTGTAGTGGTTGCCATATCCAAACTCTGACAAATTTACATAAAAATTGGGGTCTATTTTGATTTTTACAACCAGCTTTTAATTCTGAATATTGAATTAAAAAATGTGAAAAAAATGAAAGGAATTGAGTTAAATTGGTCACAAAAAAGAAGTTACAATTTTTATGCCTGTTCATTCTTTGTTATTTCAGACGGATGAAGTTTTACCAGGTCAGTTAGATGCCGCAAGAACCAACGAACTAGCTGCGTTACAACAACAGCAAAATTTACTCAAAATATTGTCTGAAAAACAAGAACAGGTACATCTTTTTTTCACATCAAAATATTTATTTCTCTGGTTTATCGGAAGCTTCTGTGGCTCAGTGTTAAGTAGCTGTCTCGCTAATCTGGATGTCCCCTGTTCGATCCCAGTTCCTTGGAGTGCCTGGCAAGGGACAACATATAGTTGTTTGGTTGATGCAAAAAACCCAAGTCCCATGACAGTTGGAATTTGGTATACCGTATTTTTCGGTGTATAAGGCGCACTTTTTTTACCAGGTATTTTATTTTCTAGAAGGGGTGCGCCTAATACATAGTATTAAGCAAATCTTGGCTTTTCTGTGTGTCAACATCGAGGTCTGAAGTTGATCATATCGACAACAGCAATAAAGATGGCGGCCATTTCCCATACCGATATCCCGTATACCGTTAGTCATAGACGACAGTGGCAACAATATGGGTCAATAGCGGTTTAGTGTTATTAAAATATCTGCAAAGATATCGTAAATAATTAGATGACATATTTTTCTGCTATTCCGACATTCCGATGTCGTCATTTTTCGTGCAATAAATATGGCGGCCATTTAAGATACGGTATCGGCTTTCCCGTATACCGTTAGTCATATTTCTATTATTCCGGCTTTTCCGTATACCGTTAGTCATAAACGACAGTGCTAACAATATCTGCAAAATTCTCGTTAATATTTCTATTATTCCTGCGTATTTGATGACATATATTTCTGCTAATCCGTTTACCGGTACAGTTAGCCACTGTCGCAATCCAAACAGTGTGTCGTCAACGGTGATATCAGTCAAGTTGACGAAAAGGCGGGCCTTACGACAGACAAAGAGTTTTCATTGGCTATTAGAAGGGTAATTTCCATTGAGCACACGCTCATTATACCATAGGCTATGGGTATTGTCTGTTACAATGACAGCGTTAATGGGCGGGATTACAGTTAAACTGACAGAATACCAATTCTCTCTCAATTTATGGAAAACGTGCGGCGCTCCACCTATTCGCTTCTTTACTAGGTTTCATGTCGGTAAGTTTCCCCTTCATCGCCCTCCAACGTCTCACGTTTGACTCCCCCAAACTAAATTGACGACCCGCGGCCCTATTACCGTGTGCTTCAGCGTAACTAATTACCCTCAACTTCTCCTTAGCGGTATAAGCGGTTCGTCTCGTAGCCATTCTGAATAAATAATTTTTAAGAATGATGGAATGTTCACTGGTGTTTTATATACATCGGGGTGTTTTCTTTGAGCAAGACTGTCTTTTAGTAACCGTTTTAAGTTACCGACGGTTTTCATTCAACATGGATTCAGTGATTGGCCCATTGTTATAATTTACCGGTATAGTTAATTATCTACCAGTGAGTTGTTATCGTTTTCTTTATGAAGTCGTTTGTAGTTGACAAAATCATTGTTTCTTTGATTGGTATTAAAAATGCTATTGTATTATTTTACCGGTATAGTTAATTATCTACCAGTGAGTTGTTACCGTTTTCTTTATGAAGTTGTTTGTAGTTGACAAAATCATTGTTTTTTGATTGGTATTAAAAATGCTATTGTATTATTTTACTGATAGATCTAAATGGCTACAATCTGGGTATTGTCATGACGCGTGGAGTGGGCGGGGCAACAGACGCTATCGTTTGTCAGTTGTTTGCATAACTTGGAGTAAACTGGAATTGTTGTTTCTCTTTTACCGGTAGTCAGGATTTAAGTTGTGAGTAGCTGATCATGATATATTATTTCTACAGGTATTATTTAATTTGTTTATCATCAAAACCGATTCATTTATCACAGACAATTACTCACGAATTTAACACGATGTAATAGACGGCCATGTTTGTTGTGGGCGGGACTTGAATGACAATTTCACTACCGTACGAGCAACAGAATTACAGCTGAAAGTTATGCAATAATGCAATTGCGTGTTATAATTTATATAAACAAATGTAACAAAAGCAATTTATTTCATAAAGAAATATAATTATATAAAGCTTGATACGGCTAAATATCGGTAATTATTATAACTGTAAACAATAGAGTTTGACCTAGTTCCTGGAGATCGCAGGTGGATTTGAGTCACATATGTTATGGCACGAGTTTCACACGCGCTGGGAAAGGGTGCGCCTAAGCCACGCATATTTTTTTTTTCCTGAAACACCTCTGCCAAAGTCGCCCTGCGCCTTATCTACGCATGCGCCTTATACACCGAAAAATACGGTAAGTGTAGGCCTTAGCAATGCTGTCCAAACAAAATTTCCCTCAAAGCACACTGGGTGGCTTATGCTTGGATAAATTAGCCCTGTCGATGCAGAAAAGTAAGACATTGAACCCCATTTCATTTATTTGCCTTTGTATGGATTTCATACTTTGATTATCTTCTCTAAGTAACAATAAAATTCATTCTTTTCTTTTATATTCCAATGAAATATTGTCTGTTATAAAAATTAGATATTTCATTATTTATTAATATATTTACAGCTGCGAGCTCTACAGGGAAGACAGGATGCTTTAATGGCTATGCACAAAGAAGCTGAAAGAAAACTGGTTGTAGCACAAAACAAGGAAAATAAAGGTAGCTTTTATATACAGACTAGTGGATGACCCGTCACTGCACTAGTTGTGCCTATGACTCAGGACGCGGCAGGCTAACGGCAATGCCAGTAGGCCTATGTTAATCCCTGGTCCGAGCTACTCCTATACAAAAAAGCCTTCGTATAGCCACCAACCCTGAACAGACAAACGAAAGTCACAAATATTAGTATAGATATTGCATTTTGTTGATAGTCGGGAGCCACAGTGTCTTAGTGTGTAAGATGTTGGCTCGCTAACTGGTAGGTCTTGTGTTCGCTGCCGGTGCTGGCCGATAAAGTTCATCGTGAATTTTCGGAGTGGCTCCCTTTTGTTAGTGATGTAGGACGGGGAGGGTTCAGATGAAACGTACAAGAACCCATGACAGTTGGAATTGTACATGTCGCCCACTTTCCCGGTAAAATTTTGCTCATAGCACACTGCATGGCGTTTGCCAGTCTCCATCAGCCCAGAAGGTGCAGAAAAGTATTACGTTAAATTTCATTTCATTTGTTGATAGTCTAGAGCTCTGATACTTTATTCTTGAAAACAATCAGCATGCATGCTGGGGGGGTTGGATGGCCAAACTAGAGCTCTGAATCTTTATTCTTGAAAACAATCAGCATGCATGCTGGGCGGGGTGGGGGGTAGGGGTTGAATGACCGAATGGTTAGCACATGTAGCAGACTTTTATTTAAATCGTCGGCAAAATCCATGCTTTAGCAATGAGTACGGTAACGATAGCACGTAGATTTAATGACCGCCAAAATAAAAACCGGCAAATTTGAAAACTTTTTTCAATGAATTAATGTAGATAGATGAAGTTTTGGAATTATTTGGACTTTATTTCAGATACTTTTTTTTTTGTTTTTCTTATTAAGAAAAAGACTTGAATAAATATTAAATAAACCGCACTCCCACATCAATTCTTTTTTAAAGGATTGTCTGAGAACCAGAATATTTTTTTTTTTGTGCTGTCTCATAGTTCCTTGGTTTTCAGTCATGAATTTATTAACTCATGACCCCATAATCCCTTTATATACAAGATGTGTGTCAGTAATAAACATTGTATTCTATATAATTGTGTCCTGTGTATTTTCAATTCACTTACTAAATACCATTGAAATAATTCATCGATTTTTATAGTTCAGAAAGTTTTGTTGTAATAATCATACATATTTCTTTTTTTTCCGTTATAGCAAAAGCCTCTGTAAAATTAGCGACGGAAGCTGTACAGAAAGCAAATAATCCTAATGTTAGTCAGAACGGTGATATTGGTGGGGAGGAGATGGCGGACCTAGCTTCTACGGGGGTACAATTTGAACAACTCATGGCCATGAAAAATAGACTTGAGATGTTGAAGAGTGCTTCTGCAGATTTAGTAAGTTCTCATGTCTATTGTTTGTATTGAATATCGGATGAAAATTTGAATCTGTCTTCAGAATCCTATTTTGTTCATGTCATGTCAGGAGCCACAGTGGCACAGTGCATAAGACACTGGAGGCAGGCTTATTACATGACAAAGCTGCAATTCAAATCCTGAATTGAACCATTTTTTGAATGATCTTCTTATTTGACATTTATCTTTCACAATATTGTAGTTTGGAAGTGTTTCTTATAGCGCTAAAATGATGCATCAGGATGTTAACATTTTGTGTAATTTTCTTGGTTCAGGCAGCCGACGAGCAAGATGATAAACCGGTGTCTGGTGATGAAGAGGCTGGAAGACAACAGCTACAAAACAAGCTGGAAGATCTACAAGGCAAAAAACAACGAATGGATGATCTGTTGAAAGAACTTCAAACTTTACGATCCCAGAGATTTGAAACTCTCTTAAATGGCGGTAAGTCGTTAAAAATGTTTTCAGATTGTGTCAATTTCTATATTAGATATTAGTACTTTATAACATTGATGTTATGTGTTGTATTTATAGAGGCATTTAGTGCTTTGGAGATGTGGGTGCTGCAGTGGCTCAGTGAGTAAGGTCTCGAAGATTGATCTCTGTGTTGGCAGAGATAGTTCCTCTGTATTTTCTGGCATGGTTCCACCTTGTCAGTGGTGCAGGATGGAAGGGCCTGGCAAGAACAGATGTTTAGTCGTTCGAATGGGACGAAAAATGGAGGTCCTGTGTACACACTGGCGTGCATGTAAAAGTACTCTGGACAAATTGTATATGATATATAAGGGTAGCCAAGTATGAGGCAGAAAAGTAGGAATTTAAACCCCATTTCATTTCATTTCTTAGAGTCACTCGCTCACTGGTCAATAAAAGCATTTTTTTGTCAATTTTCCATGATTTTGTCTATACAGTTAAAGATGCCTTCCTGTGTAATTTGATGATATATTTTTACTAAAAACATATTTTAACTAATTTATCTGTCAAAAGGTTTTGTCAAACCTCTCTCAAAACCTTTTAATTGCAAGTAAACAATCCCATGCAGCTAGAATCTATTTGGAGGCTAAAGTATATGTGATATATTGAATCCAATATCTAAAGTGCATGGTATATGTCATATATTGAGTCCAGTATTGAAAGTACATCTGATATATTGATTCCTGTATCTAAAGTAGATGTTATGTGATATATTGAATCCAATACCGGTATCTAAAGTATATTTGATATATTGTAGATGGTGAAGGTGGAGCCAGTGGTGATGCTAATGGTGGTGCTACAGCTAGTGCTACATCATCACAAGCTAAACTCAGTGAAGCTCTCGATACATTAGATCAAGCTGATAATACAGCCGATTCAGCTGAACAAGTTCTTAGTATGATGGATGCACAGAACAAACTCGAGTAAGTTGATTTCAATAATTCTCTAAAATCTTTATATTATTAGGGTTCTAGTAAAAAGGGAGATTGTAAAGGTCACTGTTAGAGAAGTTAAAGAATTGTGTATGTAGTCGTGCGTTGTCATCACCCCTCAAAATCACATGACAACGCTCTTTATAGACCATTATGGCCACTTTTAGGCTGTGTCCATGGACGTAGGACATTAAATTAAACCCCATTTCATTTCATTTTATATCCATGCACATTTATTTTGTTTTTCTTGAAGCTGTCTTAAGATTGTGAGAATGGACTAATGGATTTATATTCTCTTAACTAATTCACAGCAATTTTGTAACAATAATTTAGTGGCTTAGTGAGTAAGACGCTAACTTACTAACCATTAGTTCTTGGGTTCGGTTCTGGCGCGGTTTCCCCTTGTCAGTGGTGCAGTGAGGGCCTGGCAATGACAATGTCCAGTTGATCGAATGGGATGAAAAACTGAGGCGCTGTGTACTCATTGGCATGCGTATAAAAGAGCCATTGACAGTTGAAATTCAAAATAAGAGTAGGCTGTAGCGCTGCTGTCCGGGCAAAATTTCCCTCATAGGACACAGTTTGGCATAAGTCTGTCCTCATTAGCCCAGTTGGAGAAGAACAGTAGGACATTAAAGTAGTTAAAACCCATTTGATTCCATTCAATCAGAATTTTGTTATTTTGGTCGTAGAAATGACTACCAGTATGTTTATTGTATTGTAGAAATGATGACCAGTATTTTTATTGTTTGTTGTATTGTAGAAAATTACAGGAAGTAAAAGAGAGATTAGATCAGTTACGTGGTTTAGTTCAGTATTATCATGGAGCGAAAACTGTAGATCCTGACACAGTAGACGGTATCGACCAGTCATCTGTACCAGCTTATAGCGATTACGGTGAAGCTGAATCATCTGAAAATACGCAACAGTAAGTATAACAAGAAAATACATATGGATTTCTTGTTTGGAGGCTTGGATTCCTGATGCCAAGTGCACTTTGGATCATAGGTCTGTCATTGAGCCAAGTGGTGTGGTTTCGATTCCCTGCTTAGCCATAAGTGACCCACTAGGCTCTATACTGACTGCCTGTACAGTCACCTGCTATAGAGATACAGGCTTCACGGAAAATAGAAACAAAATGCATTTTTGATATTTTACACTTATGAATGAGATATAGGGCAGAGATGTTGGAATATTTTAACACATGGTACAATTGTTCAAATGGGACTAGAGGGTATCCACATTAAAATTAAGTTGAAAAAATTCAACTCACTAACCAATAGCTTTTGATTGCGTAAAGAGCACTCATTCATAATAATTAATTTTGATTATTTTCTTTTTTCAGGCGTCATCCAGTAGATGTAGAAAAGGTATTTCAGTCCTCGTTAAATGCCCAGAATCTTATGAACCCACTGGGAGGTATTTCACAGCCCTCTGCTGGTACACAATACGAGTTAGACTCGCAACAATCCGACGAAGATAATGCATCTAATAATGATTCACAGATGTCTAGTCTAGGTCCGTGGGGAGATGAACCAGAAATCAGAGAAAAAGTCAGGTCAGTTCACATTTACATCATAGACAAAATTATCTAGTTATTCGGGTGGGACAGAAAATCAAGGTCCTATGTTATTAAGAAAAGAAATGAAATGGGGTTTGACGTCCTACTTTTCTACACCAACTGGGCTGATTAAGACCGGCATACGGGTGGTATTAGGTCTGGACAAGAATTTCTGTAAATCGATATATCACAATATGTAAATTTTATTGACAATATTTTTTTTACCATTAAAAATACTGCAATAATCCAATATATTGTGTAACTCTAGATTATCGCCATTCCTCCAACAATATTCTCTCAAAGATTATTTTATTTTATTGAAACAAAGTATTAATCAGATTGGTCATACATGAGAATTCTTACTTCATAAATCCATACACAATGCAGCTGTATTAAAGCAAACTAGAGTTGGACAATAACTTTTATAAATCAATATATCGCAATATGTGAATTTTATTGACAATAAATTTTTGATAACGCTATAATCCAATATATTGCTTAGCTCTATGTCTGTTTCCCTAAAAATATTCTCTTAAGCAATATTATATTTTATTGAAATCTGTGGGTAAGACGCTGGCTCACTAGCCTGGAGGTTGGGTGTTCGAGCCCTGCATTAGCCGAGAAAGTTTATCCAGATTTTCCGGTGTGGTTCCCCCTTGTCAGTGATGCAGGACGGAGGGCCTGACAAGGACCGCTGCTTGGGCAAAATTTCCCTCATAGCACACTGTATGGCGTATGCCCGTCTTCATAAGCCCAGCATAGGAGCAGAACAGTAGGACGTTAAACCCCATTTCATTTATTGAAATCTGTTTGAAGGGTTTGCCAACTCTGTCAAGCCTTTTGTTTTGAAGCAGTATAATGGCAATATTTTGTGGATTTTTATATTGATGTTGCAATAATGAAAATTTCAGATATCGTCCAGCCCTAGGTGGTATGAGGGAAATTTTCCCTGGACAGCGACACTATGACCTGCCCTTATTTCGAATTCCAACTGTGCTGAGGTTCTTTTACGTGCATGCCAATGTGTAAATGGTACCTTATTTTACATGCCATCCAAATCACAAGAGACTGTTTCTTGCCAGGCCCTCAGTCCTGCACCACTGACAGGGGGAAACCAGTCTTCTCACTATTCCCGTATTGAATTGCGAGACACTAGATCGTTCTTTTTGCGATTCTTTTTGTGTTTTTTTTTTTGTTGCTTCAGTGAGTAAGCCTGTATGGCGTATGCCCGTCTACATTAGGCCAGTCGGATCAGAACCTCACTTCATTTCTTTTCATTATTTTACCAAGAATTTCTGTGATTATTATTTATAGACAACTGAAGGCTACAAAAGAGAAACTTCAACAGTTACAAGATTTGGTTGCCATGGTGCAACAATCTCCGGAAATGGCACAGACTTTACCAGATAATATCGTAGAATTAGCGGGCAGCATGGAGGAAGAGAGAGGACAAGAAACAAGACAGAAACAAGATAGAAATATTTCCATCAGTGAAGGCGAGGTACCAAATCACGATGCTCAGAGGTAATTTAACTGTTTTCAGTTTGAGGGAGTGATCCAATGAAAGTGCTTTAGATCGTAAGGTCTGTCATTTGGTCAAGTGGCATTGTTTGATGCAAGGCTTTTAGGTGACCAGGAGTCGGGTTGCTTGCCTTACTTTGTAGGTTTACTCTAGTTTCTTCACACTACTAAAAAGCCCTACATACAGCAAACTTGATATAAAGATGTACCTTATGTTAGTAATGAAATAATCTAGTTTGTGTCCCTGACAAAACCTGGAGACGTGTCTGTCGATGTCTGTGACTAGTCCCATTTTTCCAGGCTTGTATATAATTAATAGTAATACTTCGGGGATATACCAGAAGAAAATCTCTTGTGTGAAATGTGATGAAATGAAATGAAATGGGGTTTAATGTCTACTGTTCTGCTCCAAATAGGCTAATGAGGACGTGCATGCGCCATTCAGTGTGCTATGAGGGAAATTTTACCTGGACAGCAGCGCTACGACCTAATCTTGTATCGAATTCCAACTGCCAATGTATTGTTTACGTGTGTATGCCAATGTGTACACAGGACCTCTGTACGGCGTCCCATGAAATGTGAATATAATTATTTGTGAAATTGTTTTCAGTGATATAACTGGAGGAGAATCTCTGTTGTCCGTTAAAGATCAAATAAAAGAACTGAGCGAATTAAAAAAGGAACGGGAGAGACTCCTCGCTATCCAGAATCAACTTAAAGAACTCAACGAACATTTTGAAGAGGCAAGTTCTATGCAGGGACGTCCTTTAACAACACAAACTGTTTACTGTCCATATTGCCGTCGCCCCTGTCTGTGTGTGTTTGTGTGTGGCCTACAGGCCACAGTTCTTCTTAAGTGATCATCTTGAAACTTTACATACTTATTCCTTATACCCTAAGGATGATCCCTATTGTTTTTGGTGCATGCCCGACCCTCAGTGGGCAGAGCCACGCCCATTTCTTGTATTTGTTTGTCATCTACAGGCCGCATTTCTTAACATATCATCTGGAAACTTTGCATACTTATTCTTTGTACCCTAAGGAACATCCCTATTGTTTGTGGTGCATGCCCAACCCCCAGGGGCAGAGTCACGCCATTTTCTTTATGTGTGTCCCCTACAGGCCACAATTCTTAATCGATCGTTTTGAAAAATGTTCATATTTATTCCTTATACCCTAAGAATGATCCCTATATTTTTTGGTGCATGCGCCCATTTCTTTTATTTGTTTGTTTGTCATCTACAGTTGATTAGGTAAAACATACTTGCATGAATGTTATTTACAGAGTGAAAAATAGTATTAAGAAAATAAAAGATTCCACACACCTGAAAAAATATATTTTACAATATTAAAAATATTAAGAAAATAAAAAGATTTCAACCCTTGATAAAATATATTTTACATTATGTTTCTTTACAAACAGAAAAAATTATTAATAAAATAAAATAATATATTTTTCAACTCCTGTGACATTTTGTGATATTTGTTTTATAGGAAGATCATGAAGAAGACGATGATAGAAACCCAGAAAATAAAAAACGTGTCCAATCAGAACCTGGTCCCGTTGTTACATGTAAATAGAACTGTTTAATTACTTTGATGGGGGGTTGGGTGGCCAAATGGTTTATCTAATGATGAGCTGTACAGTAAAATAATTGATTATATTGTAGTTGTGTCTAATGATGAGCTGTACAGTAAAATAATTGATTATATTCTGGTTGTGTCTATTGATGAGCTGTTCAGTAAAATAATTCATCTATATTCTAGTTGCTTCTAATGATGAGTTGTACAGTAAAATGAGAAAGCAGAGAATGTTGCGTGAAGAATTACGATCCAAGAAGAAAGAATTAGAAGCTATTATGAAGAAAGATCGAAATAAACGCCAATATTTTAAAAATCAAGACAATCAAAGCGATACAGTCTCTTACTCTACAGACGCTTTTGGGTAGGTGTTCATTATATCATGTTTAGCTTTAATTGTTCCAGGGGGTTGGGTGGCCGAATGGTTAATGCATGCGCGTTGCATCATAAGGTTTGTCATTGCCTCAAGTGGCATGGTTTCGATTCTCCGCTTGTGCGTGACAAGAAGGGTCGCCAGTTTAACCTCGTTGGTTTTCTCCTGGTCCTCTGGTTTCCTCCCACTGCTAAAGACCATTAGTTAGTCTCAAAATGACCCAGTTTGTCTTGAGTGAAAGTTGAACCCCATTCCTCTATCTCTCTCTCTCTCTCTCTCTTTAACAATCTGATTAAAACACATATCCTATTTCGCTTCTTTTTTTATAGTTTAAAATTGCGTTTTACTTGTCTTAACTACACTAGGATCTTGAAGAGCTGTTATATTACTAGCATTCTGGTTGAAGTGAGGGATTATCCAATGAAACTGTCTGTTAGGGCAAGTTCTTAGCATGCGATGCAGGGAACTGTGGGTAAACCACTAGAAACATCAACACTGATTGATTAAACAATGTCTGACGTCATAGGGTCAAAAGCCGCTTGTACAACCCCTGAATCGATCTACCATTACAACCAGTCAGATCTTCATGTAGTGTAGGCCATCGAAAGTGTAAAAAAAAACGAAACGAAATATAGACCTGGTTTCTCCTTGTCAGTGGTGCAGGGTGGAGAACCTGGCAAGGAAAAAGTTTATAGTCATTCAGATGGGACATAAACACTGTTGGTTTGGGAAAAATTGCCCTCATTGTACACTTCATGGCATTAGCGAATGTTTTAGACCATAAGGTCTGTCATTGAGTCAAGTGGCTTGGTTTTGATCCCACACTTGTATGTTCTTGTTCTACGGGTCCTCTGGTCTCCAACAAACTGCTAAAAGACCCTACGTGCAAGCTTGTGTTAAGTGAACGTTAAACTGCGCTTGCATTTCTCTCTCGGTCTGATTATTTTGTATTGTGTTTTCTTTAGGGCGAGTGCTAGTGCTGATGCTACAATGGCCACATGGGGAGGATCAACCGTTGATAATCTGGAAAATATAACAGAAACAAGAGATGGTGATGGTGATAATAATAACGATGATGATGATGATGGTACGTTTGTATACACATACAATATAAGTACTTCTTCTATAGTTTCTTTATGTACCCACATTGTATCTGTTTTTAGAGAACATTTATATTTAAACATTTTTTAGATAGTATTTATGTTTAAACAGTTTTTACATACTATCTATGTTTAAACTGTTTTTACATACTATTTATGTTTAAATTGTTTTTATATACTATTTATGTTTAAACTGTTTTTACATACTATTTATGTTAAAACTGTTTTTACATACTATCTATTTTTAAACTGTATTTACATACTATCTATGTTTAAACTGTTTTTTCAGCATATTTGAGCGATGGAATTGTACAAGTAGAAGAAGAGGAAGAAGAAAATGATTCGGATAATAATACGTACACGATAGAAGCTGATGCCCGACAACGTCGTGCAGCTCGTACTAAACCCTCCCCTACACCTGATGTACGACCCAAAACACGTAAAACAGCCTCATTTCCTAGAGCTCTGGCTGTCCGAGAAGGTATTTTCTTTTTAAAAAAAAAAAAGCAACGCAAATCCAATTTATAGAATCCTGTTACAAGTAAAATAAACAAGTCTGACAATTTTTTTATTACATTCTCTTACAGAATTAAATAATTTTAATTAATTAAATGCAATAATTTTTTTTATTTACAGAAGCTTCTGGAAGTCAGAGAGCAAAACCACAGAAAAAACGTCCAGCCAGAAAAACAAGGTTACAAAGAAGATCTAAACAAGAGGTAAATTCTGTTTACTACTATGATCAGTATCTTAATTTATAAGATAATGATTTAGTTTATTTGGTAATGTGCCTAAAATCCAAATGGATTTAACAAGAAACATCATCCAGTATAAATAGAATTGAAACACTTGTTCGAGGAGGAGGGTCGTCATCTGTCCAACCTTGTGAATTTTCTCCTGGTTCTCAAATTTCCTCCAACTGCTAATGGACCTCAACACACAAGTGAATTATTGAAATGAAATTAAACAATACATTAGTCCCATAATGACCTCATTTGTGTTGAGTGGAAGTTAAACCCGATTTCTCTGTCTCTATAGAATTATAGATCAGCTGAAGAGATTGTACGAGATGTAGAGACCGGAGATAGTTCACGATTAGACGCTATACAGCAACAAGTTGAACAAACCTTTCTCTTATTACAAGAACAGCAACAAAACAACACGCTACAGTCAGCAACGTCTCCTAATATCAGTGGTAAGTAACATATTACAATCAGCAACATCTCCTAATATTAGTGGTTAGTAACATATTACAATAAGCATTGTCTCTTAATGTCAGTGGTTAGTAACATATTACAATCAGCATCGTCTACTAATGTCAGTGGTTAGTAACATATTACAATCAGCATCGTCCACTAATGTCAGTGGTTAGTAACATATTGCAATCAGCATCGTCTACTAATGTCAGTGGTTAGTAACATTACAATCAGCAGCGTCTCCTAATATTAGTGGTTGGTAACATATTACAATCAACAACATCTCCTAATATCAGGGGACTGGTTAGTAACTTATTACAACCAGCAACATCTCCTAGTATCAGGGGACTGGTTAGTAACATATTACAATATCAGATTTATTGTTTTAAAAGTTAAAAGGTTTATGTGCCTGATCACCATTTTTCGTAATTAGTTTAACTTTAAAATATCTTTTCCTGCCAACCATTTATGAAAGCTATTGCATGATTATTATTGTAATAAACAAAAACACATACTTGTTCTCGGTGAGAGAATAATCTTACTATTACAAGTAGCTGTTTTCGTAAGCAGTGGCTCGGTGAGTAAAACTTTTCTCAATCCTGGTGTGGTTCGCTCGTCCGGTGCAGGACAGAGGGTGTGGCAAAAGACAACCATGGTCCTGTGTACACATTGGCCTGCATGTAAACTAAATGTTGGTAGTTCAAATTCAATATAAAAGCAGGGCGTGGCGCCTCTGTCAGAGTAAAACTACAGTATTACAGCTATCCATTAATAACTAAATGCCACTTACATATTGTTATTATTGTAGGTGTATCTATGGGTAATGGTATGAGACAAGGTGGTCTGCTACCAGCTGAGATGTTACAACAACAGATGTACCAACAACAGATGATGATGTCAATGAATCAGTGTTACCAACAACTTAACATACAACAGATTGAGATGCAGAATCTACAACATCAGTTACAACAGATCAGTTTATATCTAACGGACACGCATCAAACTCAGAACCAAGCAGACGAGTTAACACCCGTAGCGTCATCTTCCACTACCATTCCACCAAGTCCAAACTTCTCTCATCAATCGACAGCACGTCAAACTTCCTTCACCTTGAACCCTCATTTTCCAGCATCCTTCTCACAGTTAGATTCAGTGCGACAATCCACACATCTTGAACCTTCCTCAGTCAGTAGAAGTCCCGCTCGTCACGAACCTCCACAGCCTCAAACCAACAACTTACGTCCAATCCCTCCACCGCGAGTTCAGTCGTATCAGCTGAACAGCAACCTCAATAACCGTATGTCTAGAGACGGAGAACGCGATGTACGAGCCAAGATTAACACAGATGATTACATCAGATCCAAGAAAACGTAAGTACAATTTTGAATCCTCTCATTAACCACATATCCGTGAGGAAGTCATCCCAGAATGGCCAAGTTCCTGTTGAGTGGACAAATAATTATTACATTTACTACAGAAAATGTTTGCCACAAGTAGGTGTCACTAGAGAAGCCTTGTCAAAATGTTGCTCAGTAATAAATGTTGGGGTGATGATTTTTTACTGTCACAGAAAAAAATGTGGAAATAACGGAATCCGTCAGTTGAAACGGTATTTACAATCTGAAATGGGATATTCAAAAATCTATAAATAAATGTGATCATAAAATGCACTTATTGCTGATGTTTTATAGATATTATTACATACATCTCGAAAAACGAAAATTTCCATCTTGTGAAACAAAGAAAAAAACAATTTTCATAATATTTAAAACGGAAAGTCCATCACCCCTATAAACAGTAAATGTATTCCATAGAATTGTGACCTGTATATGTAAATAAATAATATGAATGTTTTTATTATTTATAGTAAAGATAATCAGACATCCAGCCCTAGAGACGGAGCTAGCTATGACAGAAATCAGGCTTATGAGAGAGCAAGTAATCGAATTGGTGACAGTAGGAGAAGTCGTGTTAGTAGGGGTAGTTACAGACATGGTGTTGCCTCGACAGTTGGTGGTTATACAGATACGAGTCTGACAGGAGTCGTCTCAGCTCGTCTCCGTGAGAGTAGAAACAGGTATGGGTCCTTTTACAATGTGCTTAGTTAATTATATATCTGTAGTTGTAGCTGCTCTGGCAAAATTCAATCTTATATTCAAGGGTCATTGGACACAGTCTCTAAATGTTTTCTTAAAATGGGATCTGCTGTGTCTCAGTAAGACACTGGCTTGCTAGCCTGGAGTTCCTGGTTTCGCTGCCAGTGTTGGTCCAGAAAGTTCCTAAGTGGGTAGGACAGAGGAGGGCCTGATAAGGATAGTGTCTAGGTGGATTTTGGTATAAGATTAGGCTGTAGCACTGCTGTCCAGGTGAAATCCCCTCATAGCACACTGCAGGGCATATGCCATCTTTATTAGCCCAGTTGATGTAAAACAGTAGGACTTGAGAGTGTATTTCATTTTACTCAAGCTAACTATAACAAGTTGATTGATTATGTACTTTAAACAGAGATGGTGAAGGATCAGAACTGTCATTGTTTGAAACGTTACGGGAGACGATTTATTCTGAAGTAGCAACATTGATTTCTCAAAATGAAACTAGACCTCACTTCCTGATAGAATTATTTCGCGAGTTACAGCATTTATCCAATGATTATCTCCGACAGCGTGGATTGTACGCGGTACAAGAACTTGTATCACGAACGCTGGCCACGGAAGAAGATCCTTTAGCTGTGAGTATTTAAATTCATATTTAAAGGGGCATTATGTAAGATTATATAAAGAGATGACAGTTCTCGCTATAATGTTAAAAAAAATAGATAATGAAAAGGGAATATGTTGAAAATGTCAGTCAAATTACTTCACTTTCAGCCCAGATGTCTTACAATAACACTGCAGCCTTGATTGTCATTGCTACCGTTGTGATGATAATAAACAAAGTCTTGATTACCCATTACATGGCTAGAAATTCATGCAAATCTCTGAATCTATTTCTTACAAGGATTATCGCAAGAGCTTACGCTGTGAATCTACAAGGATTCGCATAAAAATTTTGTAAAAAAAAAATCATTAAAATCAGACCCATTAAATGGCATTGAGAGTTGATTGTGTGGTCTTGGTAAGTTAATGTCTAATTCATAATTTATGTAACATTTAACTTTTGTATAATGCCTATTTAACTAAACCATGATAGGCCTGTCTCAATTACATTTTTGATCAACAAGAACCCTCAGGATTTTTCCAACTCGGCCTTCTCTTGTCAAGGGTTGTGTCTCCGAGTCTGACAAAGGGTGCCTAGTTGTTCAGATGGCACAAAAAACCTGGGGAGCATCTGTTTGCACATAAAAGAACCTTGACAGTTGGAAATTGAAGTATTTAAACTTTCATATAACTTATATCAAGAAGTAGCATTTAATTAGGTCTAGTACTTAGTACATCTTCTGTGAAGAAAATTAGAGAAAAGTGATATATAATAATACCCATCCCTAAACCATTACTAGAGACTGCTGTTCTTTAGATCGCCTCAAAATGCCAGAGATATTGGATCATTTACTAGTTTGTGCAAGTGACAGGGTGGTTTGGGGTGATATAACCCTTAGGTAAGGGTTAACCACAACATCCTGTTAATGTATTATATGGACTGTATATATTCTTGGTCTAGCATGCTTTACTCGTCACCCTATCAGCTGTTTAAATATTGGCTCATTGGCTCATGAATGAGAATTATAAATCAAATGGTGCTAGTGTATGGTGTTTGTTTGTAGCATGGCTTGTGTGTATTTGTCAGTTATTATCTTTCATAAATAATTCTCATAGACAAGAAAAATCATTATACAGCTGTATGGTAGAAATAAATTTGACAACTTCTAGCATGAAATACCTACTAAAATGTAGTGGCTCTTTGTTTTAGGGTGAATTGGGTTGGGGTTTTGAGATTATGGAACACCAAATCAACAAATATTCAATGAATTAAGGATGGAAATATGTACAACTGATTAAAAATCGATTGATTTGGCATTCCATAGTTTATTTAATACCAGGACTGAGCAGATTAAAACACTATACCCTCCTGACTTAAGCTTTCTGGCCTGTCTGAAAAGGTTAGGGACCCCCCGAGATACTTGATTGAAACGACAATTCATCTAAGTTGCTCAGACCTGTGTCTGTCAGACCTCAACGACAATCACCCTGAAACAGTGGTTTGTAATACGTCCGTAAAATATCTGTAGGTACAACGATCAAGATGGCTTCGTACATTTACAACTGGTGATGATAATTTAACAGCATCAGAACTAACACCTAGTGAAAGTTTTATAACATCGGATGATGAACAGGTGATGGCTTATTATCGTCTTCTAATTCTAGAATAGTTACACTTTATATAGCTACTTTCTTTTATACCTGCTTTTGTTAATACAGTTTGATAGCATGATTAATTATAGCATGACTCTTTGCATGATTTTTATTGATTTCAAATATTGGACTGAATGAATCACTACTAATTAAAGCACTGTTGTTGGGGTCTACTGATATAACCTGTGATAACCAGTCCCTTATATATTATATAGAAAGACTCACTATAACACTGTTTCACTGTTGTTGGGGTCTACTGATATAACCTGTGATAACCAGTCCCTTATATATTATATAGAAAGACTCACTATAACACTGTTTCACTGTTGTTGGGGTCCACTGATAACCTGTGATTACCAGTCCCTTATGTATTATATAGAAAGACTCACTATAACACTGTTTCACTGTTGTTGGGGTCTACTGATAACCTGTGATAGCCAGTCCCCTAAATATTATACTGAAGGGCTTCACTGTAGCATTGTTGATTCCATCTTTACTAGTAGGCTTGATCTCGCTTTAACGCCGTACATCTTATCAATGCCTTTAATCTGAGCATGTTTGTGTCACAAATGCTACTGTTCTCGCGGTTGGAGTTAACGTAGGTATAAGTTCGAGAATTATAAAGCAATTGCTTCAGGAAACAGCCTTATACTATACAGAGGTTTCAGTTGATGTTTTTGTAATAGCACCATATGTATGAATAAAATATTGTGTTTAGTAATAAGCATGATGTTAAATTATATTTTATAAACAGGTATCTTACAATCAAGTATAAACAAATTAAAAACCGTTTAGTTTGTCCTGGTTGTTATGTGTGTATTCTCCATCTTAGTTTGTAGCAGTGGCTAAGTGAGTAAGACACTTGTTAGCTAATGTTAATAAGCAGGTATCAGACTCACTATTGCTGTTAGGTAATAATAATTGCTAAAATGAGAAATAATTGTAATGATTACATTTCAAAAGTAATGGTGATGGTAATATAATTAATTACATTTGCAATGACATGGCCCCACCCCTGGACTTGGCTAAGAAAGTTCCGCAAGATTTTCCGGTGTTTTTTCCATTGTCAGTTGTGCAAGATAGTGGGCCTGACAAGGAACAGTGTCTAGTCGTTTGGAGGTCACAAGTACAGATTAGTGTACATGTAAAAGAACCCTTGAAAGTTGGAATACGAAATAAGTGTATATGTAATTGGTTAATTACAGGTGAGAGAATATACAGAGAAGAGGAAGAAGTTAAAACATCAGGGATCAATAAAAAACAACCCATACGATTATACAGAACAAGTCGAGAATACAAGTTCTTTATCAACGCCATCTACAGGCCTGATAGAATCACCCTTTGCTAACGAATCTCTCGGTGATACAGTTATACATTTAGATAAGGTAAGTATGTAGTAACTGTCCTATACAACACTAGAACTTTCCTGTAAATAACTATATAGTAAATGCACTTTGCTAATCGAGTTTGTGATGTCGGACTTCCTGCATGCTTTTCCCTTGTCAGTGGTGCAGGATGGAGGGTCTGGTAAGGAACAGTGTCTAGTTGTTCAGATAATACAAAAAAGGTTTCATGTACACATTGAGTGCACTTAAAAGAGCCCTTGACAGTTGGAATTTTGAATAAGAGTAGACCGTACAATCACTGCTTGGGCGAAATTTCCTCTGACGCACACAGCAGGGCATGTGCCTATTCATAAAAGTACATGTAGGTTGTTAAACCCCATTTTATTTCATTCCTTGTTTATGAGATTATGATGCTTGGCTGTAGAAGATGATTAATATCACGTATGGTAATTATTTCAGGCTTTAGAACGAATGAGAGAAATGGAGAGAAAAGAATTAGAGGAAGGAAGATTAAATGAACAATCGTTAGAGATAGTTTATAATCGTGTACGTGAAGCACGGCAAGCAGCACGTTTATCAGAACAACAACAAACCACTGCTAGTCTAGATCAAACAAGTGAAAGCTCTGTACCAGAAATAATGGTTAGTTTTATTCAAATATTCTCATATTAGATCATATTCAATTTTTCTATGCACCAATTGTATGTTCTCCAATGTGTCGCTAAAAATCATATCAGAAGTAAAATCTCTGCCAGCTCAAAAGGTCTTTTACCACTCAGTTTATTTGCCATCCTGCATGAGGCATTGAATGCCTATTTATTCTAATTATCAGGAGACTATTAGTTCTTCCAGGGACTTGAGGAATGCACATATATATATAAGAGCTCTTGGCTGTTTGAATTAAACTAAGACTGAGAAGAAATGCAATTGCCAGACCAAATTATCATCTCTGTTGGTTAAGAACAGTAGAACATTAAACTCAATTTCATTTTATTGCTCTTCTCTTTCCATAGGACCTGTGTACACTTGCAATTTGGAATTCAAAATCTAGTCAAATTTCTCCTTGTAGCCTACTGCATGGCATATTTCTGTTTTCACTAGCTGGGTTGGTGCAGAAAAGTAGAAAGTTAAACCCTATTTCATTTCTCTTCTCTTTTAGTATTCACATAAACCCTGTTTTTATTTTCTTTTCTTTCAGTATTCACGTATCAACAGTAGTTTAATAGATCAGCAGGTCAAACAGATAATAACGGAAGTTCTACCCGTTGTCAAGGAACATGTTGATGATGTCTGCTCACCTCAACTACTCGCTTATATAAAACGTCTGGTTCTGTCTCTAACACGACAAAATGACAGTCGACAGGAATTCACATCCTTCTTTCACCGTCAACTCGGCTCTATTTTACACGATTCCCTCGCTAGGTTTGAAGGCAGAAAGTAAGTCATGTTCGATATTGAATTTTGAAAATACAAGTAATCCATAAAATGTACCAAAAAAGACAAATAGGTTTGGAGGTTCAAAGTTTATATAAAAACAAAATCGTAATTAAACTATTATATGTTCCTTGAATGACATTTACTCATGGATGTACTATAAATGTAAGGTTATTATTCATTATTGATCATTGCTTGATAAAGATACCTGTAAGAGTATTGGAAGTTGCATGTAATAAACTAAGAAGTAGTAAATCCATAAAGTTGTGTTATTACGAAAACTATTATATGTTGGGAAGGGGGGCTTATTTTCAGGAAGTTGTATAACTGTAATCAATATGTGTTCTATTTATAGAGTGAGAGAATGTGGAGATGATTTACTAGATGATATGTCAGATGCTCTTTATGACGAGCTAGCGTTTTTTAGAATGATGCAAGATTTAAATCAACCTGGTTTAAACAATACAACACAATCCAACAAGTCTAGCAAGGTAAAAAAAATATCATCACAAATAGCTTGATTCAGTAAAAATATCATCACAATTAGCTTAATTAAATATCACATTTAGCTGGATTCAGTAAACAGTAAATACCAGAAATTTTTCATGTTAAATAAACAGATTGATCTTGATAAATTACTATATAATTTTATATATATGGCTTTTTGCCAGTGTGCTACAAATGGATTTTTTTTTTTTTATGTTTGCAACATTGTCATCAAGCTTGGCTGCTGTCGATAGGAATTGGTTGCAACCAATCGTAGTATAACGGCTTGTTTATGGAGAACACAGCTTTCGCATTTTGGTATTTAATAGTATTTTGATCAGGGATCCTAGCTATTTTGGTCATGTTTGCCACTCTTGATTGAGAACTTAATTATCTGTCAGTCAGTGAATTAACATGTCATAAAATTAGAAATTCAAAAAATTTAACCTGAAAACATGATAATAAAGTTAATATTTATATTTTTTATTTGAAAAAATCCTTTAAAAACATAAATAAAGATTTGGAATTACGCTAAAACATTTCATATTCATTGAATTTTGACACAAATATCTTGCTTATTTGAGATATATAAAATATTGACTGACTGGGAAAGTTATGAATTGAAAGCACTGGTTTTGATATTATGTTTTTTGTTATTCTTTCTGAACCCTTAGGTTTATTTTAATTAGGTTCATGACTCGTGTTCAAGTTGTCCCATTTAATTTATAAACAATTATTACACTTGTGTTTGATCTATATTTAGACGTCCAGTCCTGATAAATCTCCATTACATCGACCAGTACGACCTATTTACACCAAGATTGAATCTAGGGGTCAAAGTTCATCAGAAGAAAGTGAAGATGATTCACAGAATAATTTACGTGTTCCGGCCAGAGAAGAGGAAGATCTGGGAAAGGTTAATAATGATGATAATTCATTTATTTATACAGTGTAACAAAATCCAGCCAATAGCTCCACTAAAGCACTTTGCAAAACTTTAGACATGGGATTTTGAAGTTGAAATGATATTGGGTTTAACCTCCTACTGTTCTGCACTGGCTGGGCTATTGAAGATGGGCAGTTGCTATACAATGTGCTATGAGGAAAATTTTGTCTGGACAGCGGCAGTATGGCCTACTCATTTCAAATTCCAACTGTCAAGATATAGTAAAACATTTATCACGCATCTTACCGTAATTTTGAATGCACACCACTAAGATAGATGCAAATCTTTCAAATAGTTGAGTTCAATTAAAAGACTTAATAAACCAATACATGATTTGCGTTGATACAGAAAAATCAAATATTCTGTGATGCCAAATTACAGTTGATAGATGTCAGTGGAAATCATATCTTGGACAGTTTTAATGAAACATTCATTACACTCACCAGGTCCAGTTTGAAGGCTTCCCACAGTGCAAGATAAGTCAGATAGTCTATCGAAGCTAAATTACAGTTGATGATACCAAAGGGAATTATACATTAGACTGTTTTAATTAATAGAAAATGTCTTTCAGTAGATTTAAGTGGTGTATGAGTATTAATGTGAAATGTTTTGATATAATTTAGGAGCGCGATGATGAGCTGGCGTCAGAGATGATGATTCAAGATGGAGATGATAAAGATCAGGAAACGGAGTGGCCGTACAAAACGTCATCAGGTGTTAAGATAGAACTGGCTGTTAGTGAAACTAAACCATTTACAAGGTAGAATAGTTTCTTATTAATCTGTTGAAACTAAACCATTTACACGGTACATGTAAAATAGTTTCTCATTAATCTGTTGAAACTAAACAATTTACAAGGTAAAATAGTTTCTTATTAATATATTGAAACTAAACCATTTAGTTTCTTATTAATCTAAACCATTTACAAGGTAGAATATTTTCTAGTTAACATGTTGTAACTAAACCATTTACAAGGTAAAATAGAATCTTACTGTGTTTAAGGATCAGTTTATAAATACCTGGAGGGTGGATGGCCGAATGGTTAGCACGTGCGCGCTGTATAAGGTCTGTCATTGAGTCAACTGGTGTGGTTTCAGTTCCCCGGTTGTACATGACAAGGAGGGTCACCTGTCCAACCTCGTGGGTTTTTTTTTTCCTGGTCCTCCGGTTTCCTCCCTCTGCTAAAGACCTCTACACGCAAGGAAATTATTGAAATAAAATTATGTTAGTCCTGAAATTACCTTGTTTTTGTCAAGTCGACGTTAAACCCCATTTCTCTAGCTGAAGAATATTAAATTATGTTTTTAGGATCCGTTTAATACACAGAGTATTTTTAGGATCAGTAAAAAACACTTGGAAGAGTATTAAATTGTTTTTGTCCCCCGCCTTTCGAAGAAAGCAGGGGACTATTAAAATGGGTTCGTCCGTCTGTCTGTCTGTCTGTCTGTCTGTCCTTCTGTCTGTCCGTCTGTCTGTCCGTCACACTTTTTGGGACACAATAACTCTCTTCCTAATTGAGCTAGAATGTTCAAACTTGGTGTATGTGTTTATGAGGTCAATGCCTTGATGGAGTTCGAAGATGAGCATTTTCCGCTTAGGGTAAGCAGAGATAAGCAATTTGATTGGTTGATGCTTTGGGACACGATAACTCTCTTCCTAATTTGGCTAGAATGTTCAAACTTGGTGTATGTGTTGATTAGGTCAATGCCTTGATGGAGTTCGAAGATGAGCATTTTCCGCTTAGGGTAAGCAGAGATAAGCAATTTGATTGGTTGATGCTTTGGGACACGATAACTTTTAATTGAGCTAGAATGTTCAAACTTGGTGTATGTGTTTATTAGGTCAATGCCTTGATGGAGTTCGAAGATGAGCATTTTCCGCTTAGGGTAAGCAGAGATAAGCAATTTGATTGGTTGATACTTTGGGGCACGATAACTCTCTTCCTAATTGAGCTAGAATGTTCAAACTTGGTGTATGTGTTGATTAGGTCAATGCCTTGATGGAGTTCGAAGATGAGCATTTTCCGCTTAGGGTAAGCAGAGATAAGCAATTTGATTGGTTGATGCTTTGGGACACGATAACTTTAGTTCTAATTAAGTGAGATTGATGAAACTTGGTGTATAGTTTCATTACAGTAATACCTTGACTAAGTTTGATAATGAGCATTTTCTGCTCAGGGTAAGCAGAGCGATACGCAATTTGATTGGTCGAGACTTTGGAAAACAATAACTCTCCTACTTTGATTGTTAGACTATAAGTAAAGATATACTGTTTGATTGTTCAATACTTTGTAAAAGATAATTTGTGATAAATTTATATGTGTCCTCTAATTATTTTCCTATTTCGGCGGGGGACATCAGCCTCACTGTTGGCTTGTTTGTTTTATTTTAGGATCGGTAGTGACGAAGATGATGAAGACAGTGATGAATCTCACAGTGCTGAAGATCCTTCAGAAACGGCCGTATCTCGAGATGCCAAAATGTCCTCCCAACCAATCAATGGGGATATTAGTCAGGAAGGGGAGCAGTCTTCCCTAGATAACCAACAGGGGAAGACGGAACAAGATGGCGATGTTAAAGTCAACAATAATACAGATGTTAAACAAACGCACATGGTAGGTGGTGAAAAACTTTACAAAATATTTCAAGCGCTACAAGCACAATATTTGTGGAGTTTTGGCACTATAGAAATGGACACTATAGAAATATAAAATTTTAAGTGTCCAGTTTTAATCTGACCATTCAGTTTTGATAATGAGTGTCCAATTTACAAACGTTTAATTTCTTAATCACTGTTAAAAATTAAACAACCCAATTGATTATTGTTATATAATGATTAATTTTTGAACACTAGTCAGGAAATTAAATACTTGTAAATTGGACACAAATTGTCAAAATTAATCACTGACACATGTACACATTAGATGATTTGGGGTGATTTTAAACGGTTTTTACGAATTTTTAAACACAGATTTGATGTCTAACAAATGTGAAAGAAATTAGTGCTAGATACACAAGATGAAATGATACACAGGTTACAGTGTGAGTGGACAAGTGGTGAACTATAGATCGTAGGGCCTTTTATGGATGCAAGTTGTGCCTCTTTCTGATGCCCACCTGGTCTTCAACAGGGTCAACCACCAAAAAAGCCATACAAGGCGAGGGAAAAAGATACTTTGAACAAGACATGACCCATATTTTCTTGGATATTTTACAGGTGAATGGTGAGAGCGAACCTGCTGATGTTACTATAGATGATCTTCCTACAGCATTAAATATAACCTGCTCAGTAAGTTTATCCTACTCAATAACCTGCTTAATAAGTTTTTTCTACTCCGTATGAATATATATACTATCCTACAGTATATTAGAGATATCTTAGTTCTAATTTAAATATACAATGCCCTATAATATAATACAGATATCTTACACTGCCCTACCATATATTATAGATATTTTAGTTTTAATATAAATATCTACTGTCCTACTACATATTATTGTTGTGCCTACATTATATTATTGATATCTGCAGAAAGATACTGAGAAGATGGCAAAGGAAGAGGAAGAAAAATTATCTGTTGACGCTGCTATTGTGGAATCCATGGAAACATTTCAAGAATTAGCTGGTGATGGAAATGCTTTAAAAGATCCAGGTACAGTCTTATAAAATATATCACCATTCAATTCTTTCTTTCACTTATAAAATATATAAAGATTCAATTCTTTCTATGTATAATTATTGACTTCTTTCTTTCACTTACTTAAAACCCAGAATTAAATCTTATTAAAATAGTTGTGTGTTTTTTTGGTGGGGGTGGTGTGTTTCCTGGTCCTAACTCGAGAGCCGCAGAGGCTCAGTGAGTAAAACACTGGCTCACTTAACAAGGAGGTACCGGGTTTAGTCTAGGTGTTGTCTCGGAAAGTTGCTCTGGACCTTTACACTTGTCTGTGGTGCAGGACAGAGAGCCTACCAAAGAACGGTGTCCAGTTGTTCATATGCTAAAAGAAAAAAAACATGTAAAATTAGCTTCTAGCTCAGTGCATAGGTCGATTGGTGCAGAAAATGATGTCAAACCACAATTTCATTTGTAAACTTTGAATGTTAAAAATCTGATATTTTCATTCTTTTCAGATAATTTTGGAAAATAGATGAAGATTTTGGTCAAAAACTTTGTTTGATTTATAAAACTTAATTGAGTTAGTTAAAAATGAAATTAATTAGATCTAGTTTATATTTATATATATCATTGTTCAACTATTTTAAATATATGCAATTAGTTAAACTTCATATCACCATTCCCTGTTCATCAAGAGTTTTTTGGCTGATTTAAAATTATTTTGATTTTCCGTTGACTAGACTGAAAACTAATACAACTTGTTATTTGGGTTTTGTTCCTTGTAGTACGGTCATCCTCCATTTACTATTGAACTATTCATTTTAGGGGTTGGATTTAAACAAATCTTTAAATGGCACTAAGTATATTGTTTGTAAGATCTTACTGTAAAGGGTAGTTGCCATGTAGACACTAGCTCCCCTCTCAACCAGCAGATCTTTAAAAAGAACAGCCCTCATTAAGTTGTATTTATTGTAACAGCTGTTTTAAACATAAGATCTTGTAATAGAAAAGTGCTTTTTCACCAAACCTCACCTTCCTTGAGAATATCATATTTCGGCAACGTACAGAAAATTGTGTGCTACATGAAATTACCTTGCACTGCCCCAACCAATACCTAATTATAGCTGGGTTAATTGGAATGTAAGGGTAATGCGGCACAGATACTGTGAGAGTGAAGATCAACCATGTAGTTCTAGATTTAATTCACTAACTGCTGTTCTGTTTCCCTCCCTCTGTATGATGTTGGTTATTGTGAAAAATCCCTCTTGTGTTATAAAATGCTGTATAATACACTTTGATTCAGAGATTTATTAATATTTCTAGAAGAAATTTATTGTACAGGCATAATTTCTTGTTGTATGGCTTGTAATATAGGTTCGTTCTCTGTAAATATACAGTCCTCCCCCATGAGGTATATAAATTCATTGTATATTAGTACCAAGTTTGTAAATTAAGCCACCCACAGAACAAATGTTTATTATTGGGTGTTTATATTAAACAATAACACAACATAGTGCCCTGTTGATAGTGATGCCCTGTTGATGGTATTACATTGATAGTGTAGTTCTATTAATGGACATACCCTATAAATGCCCTGTTAATGATTGTTATTTGACTTGAATTGTTTGATAGTTTGAGTGATAAAGATATTTTGCGGAACACCTTGATTGTTGAATGTATATAATGGTGAGAAAGTTGTTTGATTTGATTCCATCCATGCTAACATGTGCTTTATATATACAATGCTTACTGATTGACTGACTGATTTAATTTGAGTTAATTTTGTGGACAAATTTTATCTTTTTCAATAATAATTTATATGATGAAGAATATTTTAATATCTACATATTGTCACAAAATAATAAAATATGTTTTTGATATAAATTAAGATAATTTTATTTGAGTTCAATATTGTGTCAAATCCAAAATCATTTTTAATTATAAAGATATTTTCTTTTGAGAGAATAAGTATATCATCTGTTTAAACAAGCTGATATTTATCTGAAATAATTCCTAGGAAGAATCAAATTGCATAATGATCCCACAATAAATTGAATAAGTTATTTAAAGGGTGTCGACCACTGTTTTTTACCACCACCTGTCGTTAAAGACAAGACTCATCCGTTCATCATTTTGCAAGGGAAGTTCTAAGGGCAGGTAACCAAGAGGTCTGGAGTTGGATCCTAGGGATCCCAGTATTGGCTGAGAAAGTTCTCCATGATTTTTCGAGAGTAGATTCCCCCTTGCCTATGGCAATCTCTTTTTGTTCAAGGCAAAGCTGGTATGTGGGTGTATATGGATGCTTTGTGTGGCTTACTTTACAAATGTGATTAAGTTTGTCAACAAAATTGCCTATGTATATGTTACTACTTGTTCTAGATTTGTTATTTTTGTATTTTATGATGTTTGGACTATTTATTGTCTGAATGAAGTTGAGTTAACTTGCTTTATTTAATATAAATTATAATCTTGGCAGTGTGAACAGTGTTCTTTGGTTTATTTAAAGAGTTGTAAAATTATGCTTCAGTTTGTGTTCAGTCTTCATTAAATATCCTTTAATATTTGCGATTTGCCGTGAAAGCAGTTGATTGTATTTACTGACACACATGTATTTTGAGTTCAGGTGATAGAGAGAGAATCGTTAGCTGTCCAGAGTCATTTTTGATTGGCTAGTAGTTCTAACAAATCCAAGTCATTTCTTATTGGCTAGCTGTCCCAACATAGCCCAGAGTCACTTTATATTAATCTGTGGCCCAAACATAGTCTATAATTTTTTCCTGATTGGCTTGTGGTCCTTAGGTATTCCAGAATTATTTATGATTGGCTAGCTGTCCTAACATAGTCCAAAGACATTTCTTATTGGCTAGCTGTCATAACATAACATTGGCTGGCTGTTCTAACATGGTACAGAATCATTTCTGATTGTCTAGCTGTCCTAACACAGTCCAGTAGCCTACATGTTTACAGATGTACTCCTGATTGGCTAACTGTCCTATCAGAGGTATTTCTGCCCTCCCCCTTCCCGTAATTATAGGTGCTCTATTTATTACATGGTTGTCAGTAATTACAACAGATTGGTTTAATATATTTATTAGTTTTCTGAGTTTTTTTGAAAATAGAAATATTAAAATGTTCATAAAGATTCATTTCAATTATTTTGACCAGTAATAATAATCCCATAAATTTAGAATTTGACCATAAAATATAATTTTATCTGTGAAATATCATATTATACATTGATATATTAAAGTTGTTATTTAATGAGGTGTTTATGTGTCCTACACCAACCAGGGTGTCATAACGTCCGTATACTACTGTAGATTATTTATTTTTTCGGAGTGCTATATAGAGGCTTTAAATATTAAAGTATGGTATATATTTGTGTGTTTATTGTAAAAGCAAATAGTGTGATATTAAAACAAAGGGTTGTGTGGATATCAAGTTCAAACCAAGGCTTACTTTCTCAATATACCTAGGTCACAATTCTATGGAATACAATTACTGAGCCACGTTTCAACTCATTATCGGAATCCCCAGTGGCATCGTTCCTTTAAGCGGAGACAATGATTATATGTGTAGTTTAAAGATAGAAAACATGACATTGGGCTGTATATATTAATACAACACCCTCGTTCAATATCAATATACTACGTAATATATTGCTGCTAACCTTTTAACTTCTCTTAAAATACAGATACCCAATGAGGCCAGTATTTTCCACCATCTTGTTTAAATTAGGCACGATTGTCACAGTGTCCGATTCTTTGAAATAATGTATGCCAACATGAAAGGATGAGGTCACATTAATACATCTACATGTATATAGATTAGATCTGATAATTGTGTATTGGGTGTATACTATTATATAATACCGGTATTCAGTATGACCAACTTGCCGTAAGTTATAGCATTCTATATATTATACCACATTATAATATTACAGAGGGGTATATTATATATATTTTGTCAAAAACACGTTTTTCACAAATAAAATCTGCCTAAAAAAAAGATTTTTAGTTTTTACTACATTATTTGAAATGTTGTTGAACGTACTACATTTAATTTTGTTTGAAAGATTCGTTGAAATATCACAGTCCAGCCATCGATGTGATATTTTTTAAAAGATATGTATTGCATTGCACTCGTAACCATAGAAATGAAAATAAATAGAGGATATTTGTCGTTTTAGAGTGAATAACATTTTATTTCATTCGTGAAAATATAAGTTTTCTTGCTTCTCGATGAAATAAAATACGTTATTCACGACAAAACGACAAATGTTCTATTTATTTTATGATTTTACAATCATTTTAGGTAAAAACAACTAGCCAGTGGAATAACACTTTTATTTCACTGATAAAACGCGGTATTCCACTACTGATCATAAAATAAGAAGAATGTGTTAGTCGCAAAACGACCTAAGTAAAGTCTAGACAGGACAGGAAATTCCATTACGTAGTTTTATCCAAATAACTCCACCTTAATAGTCACAATTCTTATAAGTTACGTAATGCTGATATTTAATGTCAGTGGCTATACTTGGCCCTTAAGACACGAGAAGTCATTCGGATGGGTAAGAAAAGAAAACCCGATGTGCACGTAAAAGAAAGCTTGACTCTCAAAATAAGAGTAGGCCGTAGCGTCCCTGTGCGGGCTAAATGTCCCTCCTTGCAAACTGTTTGGCGTTAACCCAGTCAGTGCCGATACGTAGGACGTTAAACCCCATTCATTTTTAATAGCCAAGATTCTTTATGAGTTGCATAATGCAAATAATTTAGCTCTGTGAGCGACCATCTCAGTTTTGAGCAAAAGCTTCGGGGTTATTTCTTTGGGTCACCATAATGTGTATATTTATCCGCACCATTAAGGGTTGTACTTAAAGAGTGATACAGTTATTAATATGGTCGGAAATAAACAGGTAACTGGGAATAAAGGAATGACAAATCGAGTCAAACTCATCAGCTGTAAATATTCGCTTGGCTGCTGCTATGATTGTATGGAAGACCAAACAGCTCATTATTCACTGTTCTTGGTCCTTATTTCTTAATTCAGTCCTAAACGTACCCGAAATAGTAAATACAGTTGCACCAATATTGTCATATCACTACAGTACTAGAAGTCCTACGCTTAATAAATTCATATCTGACTTATCTGTTTGAATTATATTATTAGCACAGGCACTTGAAGGGATTAAAATAAAATTTCTTACTACTACTTGACTATATATTATCTAATCATGTTACAATTGATTTAATATCTGATCATTTCACCATCATTAGTCAATTGTTGTTGAAGAAACCGAAACCTTAAAAGACCAAAATAACTTACAGGAAGAACAAACATTTAGGTATCGACGCATTCAAAACATCTATAGAAAACAGTAAATTAACTAATTCCTTGACGATCAAATTTAACTGTTTAATGTTACACTCTCCAATATACTTGATAATCATGCACCGACAGTTTCCAAGGAAATAATCCTAAGACCCAACAGAAAATCGTTTTCTAATGACATTCGTGTATCAAAACTTACTAGGCGCTAGGCAGAAAAGACACGGAGGAGTACTAAACTTAGAGGTCCACCGTCAGCTATATCAGCGTGCAGGTACAGATACTAACAACCTTATCTCTAAGGCTAAACGTGAATTTTCTTCACAAGAATTTGCACAAAACTCAAAATATCCAGGTCAACTCTACATACATGCTAATAATATTTTAAAACGTCCTAATGGTAGTATTCTCCCTAAAGGTAATCCCAATGACGTCTGTGAACAATTTCAAAACTTTTTCTCAGATAAGACAACTAAAATAAGATTTGAACTAAGTAACCAGTTATTTCCTGAACCTTTGAAGAATCTGGGTTTAATGGCGATCTCAGTTTTCTTACTTTTACAGAAGTTTCACAAACCAAACTGAAAGAAATAATAATGGCAAGCTCTACCAAATCATGTGAACTTCATCCGATCCCATCGTGGCTACTCAAACGTTGTATTAATGAACTTCTGCCTATTATACATCATCTCATTAATAATATTCCTTAAGTGGCATTTAGTAACTGGGCTGCTGTTTTCCATAAGTATGTTTATTAGTTTATCTCATTAATAGTTCTCTAAAAGAAGGACATATGTCAAAACCTTTAAAAGTAGCATTTGTTCGCCCTCTTCTGAAGAAATCTAACCTTGATGTAAATTTATTAAAGAACTACAATCTCAAATCCTTCTTTCCTATCTAAACTTTTTGAAAAAGTCGCTGCATATCAACTCAAGTCGCATTTTAATGCAAACAATCGCAGTGAAAAGTTTCAAAGTGCATATAGATCAGGGCACAGTACAGAAACAGCGCTTGTTAGTGTTTGTAATGACATTATCAAATATACTGAAAACAAGGCACCAACAGCATTGGTATTATTAAATTTAAGCGCTGCCTTTGACATATTAGATCAGTCAATTCTTATCATCAGGTTCATTTGCTCCACAGGATCTGCCTGTCATTACATTACACAAGGTTTTTAAGATGACTAATTTTTCAAGTTGAAATCAGTATAAATATAAACCGGATATGGATAGCCTTGGAGATACGCATGCATGGAATGCAATGGTAAGCCGAGTAATTTGCCCTCTAAACGTTACCCACTACACATTCGATCGGTTATAATGTTTTTAACAGGATATTGCATGCAATGTATCAAGTAGGCGTAATCTAATTTGACACCTTGGGGTGGGCGTCTGTCTACACGTGAACTTTATATCACTTAGTTAGGGTGACCCGTGCACTTTACAGAAAGTTGGTCTCGACACGGCTAAATGTGCACGCTTTAGTTGCGTGTCTCGAACTGATTTCTGACTACCCCGCACTCGCTTTGAGTCGATAAATAGCCATGGCACGTGCAATTCTCTACAAATATATCAACTATTATAGCCGTAAAAAATCTATTGTTGACGATTTTAAATAGCAGTAAAATTTAGCTTCTTGGTTATTACAGCAGCTTTAGTAATTACGTTTGTTTTATTTTTTAAATTGCTTTATCATTAACTGTACCGTTAAGAGCGGCATCTTTTGGTTTAGTACAAATACTATCTCTGAATCACTTTCTTTAGCAGGAACATGATACTAGCAGTAGTTTCATTTTACTTTTACAAGTTTCTTAAAACAATTGTTGAGTTGTCTAAAGTGCTTATTTCTAAATTCAATTTCTTGTTCTAGCTTTCTGTTATGTTTCGTAAAAAAGTAGTCTTGATTATCCCGACCTGTCAATCAGACGTAGAATGGTCGATAGACTGGTTAAGCGAGACTAATTTCAAAACAAGGGCACGTAACCTATCTTTTACTCAAAAGTGTCTGGATGTTATGGACGCAACTTGGAACCAGTTTTCAGTCTATTATTTATAGATGATTAATGGTCATAGCTTATTAAGTACAACATGATCGTTTATTTAGTGACTATAATTGTGTGAAACTGATTTGAGGCTTGGCATATATATAAATATTGTGGCGTAATTGTCGAGATATTTGGAGATTTTTATTTATGGTGGGTCACCCTAACTTAGTAAAGATGTGTGGCTTCGATAACACACCTGTACGTGACAAGGAATATGATTACCTGCCTAATCTAGTCTGTTGTCTCGTGTTTCCTCCCCCGTTAAGGACCTCTAGCGCAAGCTACGGACGTATAAACCCGGCTTTAAAACGAAAACTGCCAGCTCTGTATCTAAACCTTAAATAATGCATCTTTATTTGCTTAGAAATATTTTACAGTACTGTTTACCATATCGTTGTTAATAAGAGCAAATATTTAAGCTCATAGCCTTATCGGCTAAAAACAACCATTCATCTAGTGAGACGATTAACCCAACTTCGCAGAAAAACCGAAAGAGTGTGGCGTAAAACCAAGTTAGAGGTTCATAACCCAATATATAGAGCACAGTCTGCCAAGAATAGTTACTATAATAATAAATTATCATCTTCACAACCACGTGATTTATATAAAATTGTTCAGTCTCTTACATCCCATACAACTCAACGGCTTCCATCATCAACTGATGAGAGATTTTGTTCTTTTTTCCCAACTAAAGTATCTGACATTAGGAAGGGACTAGATAGTCTGGTTGACTCCGATACGGAGGATAAAAAACCACTTCCGTCGTTAGATTGCAATCTAAATTTATTTGTTACTGTTTCTGAAGAATAGGTTAAGAAGATTATACGAAAGAGTAAATCTGCTACATGTAATTCTAATCCTCTTCAAACCTGCTTCTGAAAGAGGAG